TAAAACACATTTTTCTGTATTTCACATCTGTTTATAAGATCAAATAATAATTACCATTGATCTTAGATTTGGCATTTCAGGATTCTCTGCCTTAATAGGAATAGTCCAGTTTTCCTTTCAGAGTGTAGAAGGTTAGTAAAAAGAGGCGCTTTGCCCTAGAAACAGGTAGAGGGTAAAATTCATTTTAGGGTTTGGCAGTTTAAAATTCTAGGGTGATATTATTCATAATTATAGTCTATAAACCTGGCAATAGGCATTATATACTATAAGACACCATATTTCCTGTAAACTTAAGTTTTTGGGTTTTTCCTCTCTTTTTCCATTTAGTTTCCATCCTTTATCCACAGCCAGAAGAGAAACCCTCAAACACACCTGAAGGATCCGGACATGGTCTGGGATTTCTGGAGCCTGCGCCCTGAGTCTCTACATCAGGTGGGAACACTTTTTTTTTCACTGTATTAGACGAGTATAATATTTCACCAGGAGTGGAACTGTAATTATACCTCATAATGTGCTTCTCCAGTTTTATTGGAATTGGTTTCTGACTTTCTTTTTGGGAGGCTTCCTCAGATATCTTGATCTCAACGAATTTTATAATAACCGATTTTGTTAATCTTTCCCCATTCACAGACCTTAAATGATACTAGAAACATTATCAGTTGATATTTAGCAATATTAAGGATTAAAGCCTCTAGTATGAAGTAAAGCTCTATGTATTTGGGAAATGAGGTAAAAGTAGTGCCAAACAAATTTGCTATTAAAATAAATTTTAAATAACAAGTTAGTCTAGTTTTCAGATTCATTTTAGCTTTTCTTTGTATCATTCTGCTTTAAAATTCTTCTTTTTTTTAATAAATGATAATAATGGTAACTCTTCCTATGGGTATTTGGCTAGTATGTTCCATGTCATTAAGGTATTTTCTGGAAATTTAGGAATGTCTTAAAAATCTAGGATGCTTTGATTTAAACTGAGAATTTTTAGGCTTTATGTTTTTGTTCCTTAGGTGTCCTTCCTGTTCAGTGATCGAGGGATTCCAGATGGACACAGGCACATGAATGGATATGGATCCCATACTTTTAAGCTGGTTAATGCAAACGGAGAGGCAGTTTACTGCAAATTCCATTATAAGGTACACGTTCCCTTTGGGGCAGGGTGCCCCATCTCCTTACCTCTGAGGACTTGGCAAAGATCAAGGCCTCTTCCACCTTTCCCTTACCTCCCTTCCCCCCAAGGATGAGCGTATTGATCTCTTTGGTTAGTACCATGAGTGTTTTGTTGGCCATCACCCAAGTGAATGGATTCATGCTGCCCAATTAGAACGGTGCGTGGTCGCTTTTTGGTCTCCTTTTCATGTGGCCAGAGGGGAAGAACACACAGCTGCTGTCAATAGTTAAAGCTTTCTTCTTCTGGACCCTGTGAGCTCTGCCATACATATTTGGGAAAATGCTCCTTTTCTGTGGCTCTGTGCCTTAATGTTTCTGGTGCTGGCAGGTGCACATTGAACTTCCTTTCTCCCTGGAGAGAGAAGATCTAAGGTTTTGCTTTGTGCTCAAATGTAAGGAGATAATACAGGCCTCTAGGCTAGATCAAAGGAGGTTTCTACCTGGTATAGCCTACCTTTCTAGAGTTCTTTATTGGAGTTTAGTGTCAGACATTACCAAACAGTAAACTGTCATGCTTGACCTTTCTTAGCCCTGAGTCATGGTTCTGAGCATAGATATCTCTTGGGGTCCAGGATGGGACTAAGGCAGAGTTAGGGCATCCTGTCGGTAAACACCTATCCCACCATTACTTTCGATACCTAATGCTATCTTTCCAAAAACATTTCAGTTTGAACTTCTTTCTTTTATTTTGTAGACTGACCAAGGCATCAAAAACCTTTCAGTTGAAGATGCTGGAAAACTTGCCCAGGAAGATCCTGACTATGGCCTCCGGGATCTCTTTAATGCCATTGCCACGGGCAACTACCCCTCCTGGACTTTTTACATCCAGGTCATGACATTTAGTCAGGCAGAAACATTTCCACTTAATCCATTTGATGTTACCAAGGTGAGTCAGTTAACAACTAAATTGTCTTCTTTTTTAAGTCTCTTCGTACCTAATTTTAAATTTCTAGTCAAGCACTCATCATGATAGGGAAGTCACATAAAAATGCAGTGGTACTACTTTAGTTTCCTAGCCTGTGAATGAGTGCTCACCAGTTCCCGTTTGATAAGATGAACAAATTCCTGCATTCATCTAGGTGGTTTGATATGTTGTTGCTAGCAAGGAACAGGTTTTGAAAAGATGATGTACTTTTGCCCAGGGAAAGTGTCAATATTTACGGTTTACTGTTGTGAAAGAGTCAACCAATGCATTCACCTTAAGTTCTTATCATTTTATTGGATTCACCATTACTGTTTTCACTTCCTATCATTGGCTTCATTATATTTGAAAGTTGGCCTTTTTGTGGGTACTTTAATTTCCTTCAGTTGGTTGTCTTGTAATTGTGAATATCACATTCTTTTTAGATTTGGCCTCACAAGGACTACCCTCTTATCCCAGTTGGCAAACTCGTCCTAAATCGAAATCCAGTGAATTACTTTGCCGAAGTTGAACAGTTGGCCTTTGACCCAAGCAACATGCCACCTGGCATTGAGCCCAGCCCTGACAAAATGCTTCAGGTAAACCTGGGGGCCTGAGAGGTACTGTGGCAGCAGTGCGTGTGAGTGCGCACGTGCGCACGTGCACGCGCGCGCGCGCGCGCGCACACACACACACACACACACACACACACACACATACACTGTGTAATTTGGCATGGTCTTTGTATGAAGATTTAACTAGAACATTGTTTAAGCTTTCATCTGGGTCCTTTTGATACGGGTATTACAGTATAAGCCAAATTTTGATTAAAGTCCCTCAATAGGTTAAGACTTTGACATTTAGTCTCTTAATTAAAAAAAAAATCATATTAGAAATGTCTCAGGTATTTACAGAGTCAAGCACTCCTTGTTCAGTCTGTAGCTGACAGGAGGGAATATCGTTAATTGGTTATAACATCTTGGTCAGCATAACTTTACTCATTTCCTCTTCTATGGTTATGCTTGAGTTTTTCAATCTGTAAAAAGCGATTCGGACATGATTTTTACAAACTAAATTTATGTTGCCAGCGATTAAAGGCAGTGGGTTAATTTACCATTTGTCTTGGTAATGTTCCTAGGCATGCAGACGTTGTTTTTTCTCACTTTCCATGATGCTCTTTTAAGAGTAAAAAGAGTGAAAAATTCTTCTTGGGACTAGAAGTCAGTAGGAAAATAGTTAGCTTAATGATTATTGAGTGAATCAGTCTTTTGCGCTTTTTGGACTGTGACCATGAAACAGAAGTTAAAGATTATGCCCTAGGTCAAACTGCAGTGACTGATGGCTGGCTCTTCTTATGTAAGCACCTGATTCCAATTCAGGTGTCATTCTGTGAAGGCAAGCTAAGAGTCCCTTGCTTATTTAATAATAACTTCTTTGCTTGACATTGGGAACATCTGAGACTTTTATAGGAAATAAGCTTTCTATTAGTTTTTAGTGCAGCATAACTACTATAAATGGAATACCTAGCTACTGTGTGTGATAGACTGCCCTGGCTGCTATAACAGATATAAAAACACAAGATAACTATAACGTAAGGCAGAATGCTGTGGTGAATCAGGAGAAAGCTTGTCTGATTGGAGGACGATGACAAAGTCTCGAGAACGAGGTAGCATTTGAGATGGCTTTTGAAGAATGGACAGGATTTTGACTTGGCACAGAGGTCCAATGGGCTACTCACAATCCCCAGAGGGATGTGAGTAGAGGTCCAGAAGCGGATGGTGTTGGGTGTATTTAAACTGTAAACAGTCCACTCTTTCCTAAAGCAGGATAAATCAGAATGGGTACACTGAGCATGTTGGAAGGGACCTCAGTGCTTGAGTAACACTTTACACAGTTGTCCCTTCTAGGAAAAGAAAAGTTTCCTTCAGTTTTGAGAGATGTGATCTGGTATGTATCAAGTAAAATCATTCTGGTTGGTGATTAAAAAAAGAGGGAACTGGGGGTTGGGAATAGAAAAGAGAAATCAAGCAGATTACAGAGGATAAACAGAAGTGCTGACATTGAAACTGGGGAGTAGAGGAAGCCAAGACAACGTGACCCTGGGTCCTGAGCCTCTGCCTGGGGGCTGGCAGGGAGCTGAACTGTGTGAAGGAGCAGTTTATGGGATTTGCCTTTGCCAAGGCATGAAATTGTCCTGGCGAGGACTAAGGCTGCATAACCCTTGTATTGAGGGAACAGGTTCAGGAGTGAAAGGTCACCCGGTGGGTTTTCACAAGAACCCAGGGCACCATGGGTCCCTGGGACCACAGTGAGACCTGGAGGCAGGGAGCATCACTGAGTTTTGCAATTAGAAGAGCATTGAGGCATTGGATGGAGGCCTAAGCCCCAGGAAAAGGACCACACATACGGCAAATACGACTTCTCTACCAACAAAAAACAAACGTATGAGGCATCTCATTGAAACTGTGGGGAAGAGAGTTCTGAAAAAGGATGCTATATGGAAATCTTATAGTTCTATTAATGAATTGGAGTAGATGAGTGAATCATATAATTTCTGTCCGTATTAATTTCAGCTATGGCAAACACATATTTTAAATTTCGTGTTCTGTCTCTACAGTTTCTTTAAATTGAGTTTTAAAACGTGCTTGAAAGAGCTTTAGTAGGTGCAGCCAGGATATCAGTTCCTAGCCTAGTCTCTCCTGCAACTTCTTAGATCGCTTAGCTGTGAATTCTAATGCCGTGAAGCATGTTTGGGGCCATGCAGGGAGGGACTGTGATGCTCATTTAGCCATTTGATGACTAGTGAGGACTCGTTTTTAGTTTTTTTGAGTAGGTAAGTAATGTAGTCTGCATCGGGCCCCAGGAAGATGATTTTGGCAGGAGTGTGTGGGGTGACGTTGTTGGAGGAGGGGCCGGAAGTGGAGAGCCAGTGAGGAAGGAGGACTTTGAATTCACTCTGATAACTGATGCGCGTCCAAGGGTGGCAGTAGCTGTATAGTCTTGGACAGTGTTCTCAGTTACCTTTCAACAGGGTCACATTACGATATTTTAAAGCTTTGTTATCCACAGTGGTAAGCCAGACAGACCATGGTGAAAAGGCAAAATAGCGTAATATAGTGTAAGTCACTAAGAGACTGTCCCTTGAGTACCTCATGATGCAGGCGCAGCCTTTCCTCACTCCCAGTCTCTGCAGTTGACCAGGAATGGAGAAGTAGGTGTCCTGATTGCCTGAAGGGGAGAGCTTTGTTCTGCTTTGTGACCCAGGACCAGCAAGGTTGCTCAAGCACAGAGCCTTGGGTGAGGCCTAGATTCAAATTGATATCAAGGTATAGCTTTGCTGTGTCCATTTCCCAACCGTGGCTCTCCACCCGTAGGTGGGGTAGGGTGACACAAAACCGTAATTATATGATAGGAGCTATATCCAGGAACTGCTTAGGCTCAGTTCTGTCCTGTTGGTAAATTTAGAGCACAGCTTAGTCCATTTTGAGCTAAAGGGGGCAACCAGCTTCTAAACTACAGGTGGGTCTTAGTCATGGCTGTATGACCAATCATCTCAATATTACCCTAGACTATTTAAAGTGATGATGGGCGGTAGAGTCACCCAGCCAAAAACATTATTGAGAGAACAGTGAGACTGGAAGCATGAGATTTAAGCACGTTGGTATGAGTGATTTGGTACAAAATAATTGCATACGTCGCCCTATTCAACTTGATTTTTATAAGAATGCTCTTTCAGATTCAAGGTCAATGATAAAGTCAATAGAAGAAAACTGCTCAATGGAGTGGAGCTTTAAATAATGAGAATATTTAAATAATTGGATACTAAGATTAAAACAGAGTTAATCATAAACATTTTTGTTTCAGTACTGACAAAGAAATTTTAAAATGCTTACCATCCTGCCTTGGTAAATATGTAACTTAATTTAACCTTTGATTCAGGACCTTGTGGCATTATAGGGCCATCATTTTGAACCTCACATTTCTTTGTGTATTACTTTGTTTATATCTACAAAGCCTCAGAGCTCAAAGTGTTTCTGACATAAATCAGATTTAACATGGGTGGTGCTTTTTTTGTATAATTTCTTATACAATTGGCTTTGTGGAAATTTGTTTCTTTTTGTTATTGCACACAGTCAGTGTCTGTTTCATTTGTGACTGTAGGGTCGCCTTTTTTCCTATCCTGACACTCACCGCCACCGCCTGGGACCCAACTACCTTCAGATACCTGTAAACTGTCCCTTCCGTGCTCGAGTAGCCAACTACCAGCGTGACGGCCCCATGTGCATGTTCGACAACCAGGGTAGGCCTCAGACATCTGGCTCCCCCTGTGAGGGCAGGGGGCACCGCTGTGCAGAAGGGTGGGATGGCAGGCCACGGGACCTTCTGCTCTGGGAAGGCGTTCCACAGACGCTACTGCCAACTGCGTATTTCTTGCCCAGCAGTGAAGGTTTAAACTGCCTGAGGACTCTCCATCCTTGTATCTATTTTATGTTTTATTGTGAGTTTCCACCTCAAATTTTACTTGCTATCCATCTGATAGTGAAAGGCTGGGAGAAAGATCTTTCACTCTGGCTATAATAGAGTCATAGCCAACTTAGAGGTTAGGTTTTGGAGATGTCACACAGTGGACAATTCCTTAAATCACTCTTAAATCACCAGGACTTAGAATCTTGGAAGTCCAGAAGCCAAGAGTTCATGTCTTTTGTTTCTCTACACTTCTGCTCGGGCTGTGGAGGGGAAAGCCTAGCTAGACTTTGGAGGTGATGGGGCAGGCTAGAATAGGGGACACAGAGCAAAGCAAGGGGTTCATTCTCCCTCACCTTTTTTGGTTATGTGAATGAGTTGAATTCATGTAAATCAACTGGTGAGGTGAGACTCCACTACGTTTTGGTTTTTGGAGATCATTTATCAAATGCATGTTTTTTTCCCCCTTTTAACTACTTTTTGTTGGTGCCATGTACCAATAGCTTTTATTTCTAATTACTTGTTTTAATTTGAGAAAGCTTGATTTATTTTTTTTCTTTTTAATATTCCACAGTTTAGCATAGATCTTAGTTTTCTTTTTTCATTTTCATATTTAGGACATGTGTTTTAGTAATAGGTTGCTTACATTGATCCTTTTAGAAATTTTATTTATTATATTTATAGCCCTAGATGTCTATATTCAAACAAAGTTAATTTTCCTGTGATAAAAATAATACATGTGCCCTAAAGCCAATTTGGAAACTAAGGGAAAAGAGAAGGGAGAAGAAAAAACCACTTATAGTCCAAATACCCAAAGGCCACAACTGTTTTATTTTGCTGTATTTTTTGCCAGTCTTTTCTGTGAATATTTTTTATACACTTAAGATTATTTTGCATATGTAATTTTATGCCTTGCGTTTGTTACCATTATCACTAAGCCTTTTCCATGTATTTAACAAGTTTACATGCCCGTTAACTGATTCTGTCAGATGGCAACACTATATCTGCTCTCTGAGTTTACAGAGTTAAGGAGTGTGTTATTGCTCAAAGTAATTGATGCTTCCTGTGTTTGCTGCATTTTTATTCTAAAGTGATTTTATTTTTCATTTGTATTCCTTGGTCCTTTCATTCTTGAGTCTGTTATCAGAGAGGTTCATGTATATTTTGCAATCCATTAATAATTAATTGCTTCATGTTTACCATTATGGTGACATACATGTGAAAAAACAACTTAGGGATATATTGTAAGCACCCTTTGCCTCATTTTAAAAGTAGAGCATTTGGGCTGTGCTCCTAAAGTTCCATAAAAGAGCTTAATTATTCCTAGTAGTGAGTGACTTGAAGACAACTTCCACTTTGAGTAAAGGTCAGAGCTTATTTGGAAATAAAATTTAAAAATTAAATAGACAAATTTCAAAGAGCTAACTCGCAATGCAGAAAACCACTGTGGTAGCTGGTTATTGGCACACTTTGCTTTTCATACAGACATGGCTGACCTAGAATAAATTTCTTGGGCTAGTAACTGGGCTCCATGATAGTATGGCATTTTTTATCTTCCTACATGCACTTGGTACCTTGGTAAATATGATAAACAAGCACCTCTTGCTTATCCACTCTGAGTAATCTATTCTGGCAGTGCGCTGGGTAAAATTCCAACCCAGACAGGCTTGTTCAAACCACTTAATATGTTTCTAGGCCACTCCTTCTGTTTAGGTAGTATGTGTTCAGATAATTCAAGCTTCTGCTACTTTCAGCCAAAGCAGAGCATAGCTAGGAAAATAAATATGCCAAAATGGAAAAAAAAAGTCTTCATAATTTTTTCCAGAAATTATAAAAGATGTTTTGATTGTATTTGTCGCTGTTTTTTTCTATAAGTTCAGATGAATGAGTACTGACATACTAGAAATAACACATTTTTAACCATTGCTTTTTTTTAATCAATTTGTGGAGGGAAGTGAAAGTGAAGCTAGTAGACAATACAGGAGAGATACCCCGAGAATCCTAAAAACCTTTAAGGAAAAGTGAAATAGAGTTGTGCGATAAGAATATCGTATGTGCTGGAATGGAAGAGACAAAAAACCCAGAGTTCTAATCTCACATCTACCACTAATTACCGTGTAACTGCAGGAGTTAGGATTTCCGGGCTCAGTTTATGTTCCTGTAAACTGAAGGAGCAGCGCTAGAACTTTCAGTTGCTCCCAAGAATGTTGTGATTCAATATTACAGTTGAGCCTGAGCTCACGTGAAGTCCTCAAATTTGAAATGTGTCTTTGGGTCTCATTTTCTGTGGGGGTCAAATCAAACCTGTATAAATTTATTTGTATGGGTAAGCATCAGAAGATTTTATAGATTAGGCCATCTGAAGTGTTCAGAGGGAATTTGCAATCTCGTCTTCAAAACTCAGAGTGAAATAGCCCAAGCGAGCACATTGGGAGATGGCAGTATTCTCTAAGAGTCTGAGCACTGCCTGTAGGTAAATAGGGTACATTAAAATTCACATGTGCATGGCATGTATGTGTATGTGTGTATGCATATACATATGTAATTGAATTTATTTCATGTTACCTTGTTTGCAGACTTGCTTCGCTTTTTGTCTCCCTAAGTCAATCTGTGTGGTTTGCCTTTAAAGGTGGCGCTCCAAATTACTACCCCAACAGCTTTAGTGCTCCCGATCAAGTGCAGAGTTATGCCCTGGAGCATAGCACCTCCTGTTCTGGGGATGTGCAGCGCCACAACAGTGCCAACGATGACAATGTCTCTCAGGTAACGACTTCCTTCTTCATTATCTGCTGTGGGAGTCACTTAATCATTCTGCGTCTCAGTGTCTGCTGATTCCCCCCTTTCAAGGTGATTGAATTCAGGGAAGATGTCTCTAATCATAAGTCAGTCCCATTATTAGGTGGAGTTGAAGAATTGTGTTACTATGCTCTTTCAGTACAAGATATGACTCATTTCAGTCCCCCCAAATTTTATTGAAGGGATAAGGTGGGGGCCATTGGGAAAGAGTGATTTCATGGAAATCTAAGAAATGGGTAAGTAAAGCTTAAGTGCAGCCTAACCTAAGGACCTGGGCTAGACCGTCCAGATGTAAGGGACTAGCACTGGGTTCAAAACACTTGCAAAGCCTCAATAGCAAGAGTGTAGGTGTTTCCACTGCAGGGCCCAGCATCCACATGGCGCTGCTACTCTTCATCTGCCTGCTGCTGTTTCCAATACCAGCTGCTTATTCTTTCCATGTCCTTCTATTTTTCTCCTCTTTGCTTCAGAGCTTCTGTTTTTAACATGGCTGTGGCTTTGCTATGAACTTGGACTAACTCTTCTTTATGGCTTTTTTCTCCATATATTACACTTTTTTTTTTAACCATCTTTTACTCCTCTCAATACATCTAATATCAGATTCTGGAGAGAGGAAATCAGATTGATTTGACTAATCTTTTCACTCTAGGTCACATTACTGCCTCTGGTGAGCCTGCAGCTAACTGCCCCTCGTCAAGTACCCACCCCCTTTGCAATGGCTTATGGCTGCCTAAGGGCTATTCTTTCTTTCTTTTTTTTTTTAAGATTTTTATTGGGGAATTGGGGGATGGGAACAGTGCTGGGGAATTGGAGGAAGGGGAACAGACAAGTTGCTATCCTTTTGTTCTTCAGTCTAGTTGTGGAGGATGTTGCTTCACTGGCCCAAGTTGGTACCATCATTGCACTCTTCCCGGTCGAGGCAGATCAGTCGCCGGCTTCTGGACGGCCGCTCACCATGGCTGCCAGCCGCTCACGCTGGCTGCTGGCTACACACGGTAGCCCATGGCAACCCGCTGCAGCAGGGGACTACAGCCTACGCTGTCGCCAGCGACTCATGGCAGCCCAGTTCCAGGTTGAGCTGCTGTTCAGCAGCTTAGTTGTAGAGGGCAGTGTCACTGGCCCTCATATGTGGGATCCGAACCGGGGCCCTCTGGCGTCCCAAGCCAGCTCTTAACCAATGCACCACTCGCCGGCCCAGGGCTGTTCTTTCAATAGATGCACTGAAAAGCCCTTGAACTTTGAAGGGCAGCCACCTCTTTAATGTGTTCAGTGCAACTTATACCACACATGAGAAAAGAATAAAGTTAAAACATGTAGTTGTAGAGCTCTGCTTTGGTAGTTGGTATTAAACTTAGTATTTAAGTGAGAATAGGACTTACCGTATTTCCCCATGTAGAAGATGCACTGTTTTTAAAAAAATTTGAGGTCTAAAAACTGGGTGTGTCTTATACAGTGGTTGTAGATTTTTTATTTACTTGCATTTCCCACCTTTTTCGCACTTGTTTTTTTTTTGGGGGGGGTGCTCATACAACCACTGTATAAGATGCACCCCAAGTTTTTAGACCCCAAATTTTTCGAAAAAAAGGGTGCGTCTTATACATGTGGAAATACAATATTCTATACAAGGGGAAATATGGTATTTCTAGTTTCTCACTTTGTAAATGTGGGTTCCAAGTAAAATGTACTTAAATGCATGAATTGATTCACTGTGAAGATATCTTGATTTGAAAGGCACTTATGTGTTCCATATATATTTGTACATAAAAAAGAAATTACTTTGTTGTGGGATATAGACAATATTTTGATGGGATTAAACAAATCCTAAAAGCCTTTTGTAGTAACTGCATTATTCTTGATATGCAGGTGATACCAAGTATATTATGATACAATTCCTGCCTCTCAAAGAATTTTGCCTACATGAGGTCTATTCCAGTGTTAAACTACCTAGTATCACCTCTGCAAAAATAAGATAATGAGGCTATTGCTTACAAATGAAAGCTTACTAGATAATCATTCTTATTTTATGAGAAATTTTCTTATCACTATATTGAAGTCATGTTTTTGAGCAGTTATGACACTGCTTATAGGTTTATAGGTTTATATAAGTTTATAGCATAATCCTGTAACTATACGAGTCTCATGGGAAATGAAGACGGCCCAGGTGTATACTCTTAAAAATGACTCACTTGGACTTCTACTTCTGGCTTATGGCAGACTAGCTTTTATCAGACCTATTCTGTCATGGAGAACGTGGAAAGCTAGATAAAATACAAAAAGCATCTGCTTTTTAAGGCTTTGGAGAACTAACAAAGCAATAAGGATCTGAGGGGCCAAGATCTCAGACAGAAAAGTAGTGCAGAGATGTGAGCGGGGCATTAGGTGTCCTTCCCTAATGAGGCATTTGTTACTTTGTAAGCATCGGCCAAGATGCTGAGCAGAACTTACAGCACGTTCATGGGTCTGGAGGGATAAAAATTGGAGTCCAGGGCCTGCTAAGGAGGAGGCCTCTAGTTAACATCCCAGGCTTTCAGTTGGAACCCCTGAAGGTCACGCCTAAGAATAAGGACAAACTTGAAGGAAGCTTTCCCTCACAAAAACTGAGGCACCACTTCGCATCCGCTCAGTCTCAGATTGGGTTACAACGATCTCTTTCTATCCTAACTGTGCGCCAGAAGCAAACATGAATCTTTGGAGGAAAATAGAGCCTCAGATTCTCTCTCTCCATTTTTTTATTTGCAAACGCCCAGCATTCAGTAATAAATCGTCAACATAACCAACACATAAGACTTTACGACTGAAAACCAAGAGGGGAAAAAAAAGCTGTCAATAGAAACAAACCTACTGTTGATCCAGGTTATGTAATTGTCAAATACCGGCTTTAAAATAAGTGCGATTAATATGTTCAAGAAAAAAAAAAAACATGGAGAATTTAACAAGAGAAGTTTTCATCTATACAATAAAAATTGAATGGACATACTGAACTGGAAAATGCAACAACTGAAATTAAGAACTTAGTAAATGGGTTTAAAAGGAAATTAAACACAACTGAAGGGAGGATGAGCGAATTGGAACAGAGCAGCAGATATTATCAAGAGTAGTTCATGAAAAGAAAACAAAAACTCATGAGACGCCATGTAATGATTAAAAAGGCAGGCCACAGAGTGGCAGAACAAATTCGCAGTTCATCTAACAGATGACTCATGTGCAGAAATATAAAGAACTCCTACAGAACAGTAAAAAAGAAACAGAACCAACGAATAAAAAAATGAGCAAAAACTTGAATAGGTCCTTCACAAGAGGACATTCAGATAGCTGAAAAACATATGGAAAGATTGTTTACCTCACTAGTCATCAAGAATATGCAAAATACAACCACAAAGAAATGCCGCTGTGTATGCAACAGAATGGCTAGAACTAAAAAGACTGACCGTACCAGTGTTGTGAGAATGAGAAGCCGCGCTAACCCTCATATGATGAAAGTACTTCCTGGAGTTGATGTCAAGCTACCAAGGTGATGTCACTGAGCTCGTGGCCTTGGGAAGTGCTGTTCGTTATTCCACTATTATATAGTATTTCCACCATGGAGATGAAATAAATACAAATACCCTCAGGAACATAGGTAATAGGTATTAGGAAGTAACGTGTTTTGAGGGTTTATTACTTTTGTTTGTAATGTTATTTTAAGTTTATATAATTTAATTTTTAATCATGGCTGTTTTTAACAAGTAACTCACAGAATTCATAAAAATTTGACAGCCTGCTCTCCCGAGCAAGTCGGCAGCAGCACACCAATGGAATTCCAAGACCAAATTCCTTTTAGTTCAAGATCGTAGATTGAAGTGACATACGAATAGGAGGCCTTTCTTTTAATCCTCACACATGAGGATTAAATAATCCTCACACATATTAGATTTAAAAATTAAATTAAAAAGTATGTAGTTGAGCTAATAAACAAGAACGGTCAATCTCCAGGTTCCAGAAATGAAAAAGGAATCACAGTAGTGCGTGAATATTGAAGGTATATACCTCATGGGGGTAACCAAACCCTATCCACATCTTATTAATATTTTATGCCTCTAAGGGGCTAGGAGTTGAGGACTCAGGCTTAGTGTCGTAGAGAGCTAGAACTGAGCTCTTGACATAATGATGGCAACCAGGAACTGGCATCTTATTGGAAAAATTAGCCACCAGGCTGAAAATACAGCTTGGAAGCATGTGGACTCTAGATGGAACGTCTGAGAAGTTGGGGTCCCTTTCCTATACTGTGCTCAGATGAGGTCCCTGCATTCTTGCCCCATTTAGAACCATATGGAAGTCCTGAACTGAGAAACAAGTGAATCAGTGAACCTTGTTAGGCCTCTGCATAGGTGACAAAAATAAGTCACCATGTGAAGACACCTTCACAGCTCATACATATTTGGAATTTCTGCAGAAGGTAGCTCGTGTTGAAGATGAGTCACATGGGAAAATTGCAATACATACAAGGAAATCCAATACCCTGAGAGATTGCAGATTGCACATGGCAATAAATGATTGCACATGATAGAATAATCTAAAAGGGATTTAAAATAAGCATGTATACAGCATTAAGGAGATACAGAAAGGAATATTATCTATAAGACAAGAATAGGATGTGAGAAAACAAAAACAGGTAGATTTGAAAAAGAACTAAATAGAATTTTTTAGAAACAAAAAATACAATCTTTGGAATAAAAATCCAACAGATACAGCGACTCAATAGGTGTTTAAACAGTATGTTAGGTACAGCTGAAGAGAGAATTAGGGAATTGGAGATAAATCTGACTCCTGTTAACATCAAAAGTCTGATTTTTAAACTTGTATATCAGATTTAAACTTTGCTCAAATTAAAAAACCGTGTTATAGGGCCGGCCGAGTGGCTCAGTTAGTTAAGAGCGTGCTCAAGACTTTGAGCTCTGAGCAACAGCGGTTAGATGCCTGGCCCGAGCTGAGCTGCCACTGAGCTGCCAACAGGTGGCAGGATGGCTCAGCTAAACAATAAAACAAAAACAAAAACGTGTTATAGCCTATTTCATAACTTACTTAGAAAAGTTATGAATATCTTAATACTTTATGAATTTGATACTTCGGGTAATTGGATATTTTTGGACTTTATAAACATTAACAGTACATAGGACAGTGCCTGGTACGTTATAGGTACTCGATAAATAAGTATTTGTTGAATGAATGAATGAATAAGTGAATGAAATGTTGTAATAAAATTTTACCTATAACTTAGAAATGGTTGTTTTCGGAAATGAGCAAAGACTATTTGGACTCACACTTGATACTTGGCTCCTATTTTTCATTTTATTCTAGTGATGATATTCATTTTAGAGGTAAACCCAATAATCTAAGTCAAATGTCACTATTAACATCTATCTTCTTCAAGAAATCTTGGCTTTTGAATAACTGAGGTTATATATTAATGAATTAGGGGTGTTTTTTTGTTTTTGTTTTTTGTTTTTCCATTCTGTGATTCTGGGTGAATTGCACAAAGGTTGTATTGTGCTAAGTTTGCATTTGATGCTAGTTTGCACATTCTGGACTTGTTAGTATGAAGAGTATGGTGGGGTTTTAAGTTGTGGGCTATACTGGCTTTTATTTTATAAGAGATTTATTAACACTGACTACAAACTACATTATTAAATAGCAGTTATGAGCTGTTAACAACTGACTTCCTATTTTGCTTAAAACAACACAAATGACAGTTTCAACTATAATTTAAAATTATTCTTGGGCTGGCCAAATGGCACGCTGGTTAAGAGCTGGCTTGGGACTCCAGAGGGCCCCGGTTCGGATCCCACATATGAGGGCCAGTGACATTGCCCTCTACCCCTAAGATGCTAAACAACAGCTCAACCTGGAACTGGGCTGCTGTGAGTTGCTGGCGGTGTAGGCTGCAGCCCCTGCTGCAGTGGCTTGCCATGGGCTACCATATGTAGCCAGCAGCCAGCATGAGTGGCCAGCAGCCGCAGTGAGCAGCCGTCCAGAAGCCAGCGACTGATCTGCCTCGCCTGGGAAGAGCGCGATGATGGTGCCAACTTGGGCCAGTGAAGCAACGTCCTCCACAAGTAGACTGAAGAACAAAATGACAGCAACTTGTCTGTTCCCCTTTCCCCAATTCCCCAGCACTGTTCCCATCCCCCAATTCCCCAATAAAAATCTTTAAAAAAAAATTATTCTTAAATTCTAAAAACTTTTCTTTCTTATGCAAATGAGAAGTCTCACTTTTTCATGTCAGAAGCCATATTGGGTGAGTTTTGCTTGTGGTTATTTGGTTCCTCACACTATTTTCAATGAGCAGGTGCGGGCGTTCTACATGAATGTGCTGAACGAAGAAGAGAGGAGGCGTCTGTGTGAGAACATTGCTGGCCATCTGAAAGACGCACAACTTTTCATCCAGAAGAAAGCGGTGAGTGATAATTTGGAAGCTGAAGAATGACATCTGCTGGCTTGAGAAGGGAGTGCAGCTGTGTGACAGAACCCTTAAAAGTGTCATTTTTTTTTTTCACTTGAACTAAGTGGACTTAAGAAAATTAGAAGTAAGCCCCAATCAACCTCTGATTATTTTCTCTCCAGTGCATATGGTATACCCAATGAGCCTTAGCCCTTTGTCCAATAATTTTGTGTAATAATTTAGTTGAGTTCAGGATGAATTCTCTCCTATGTTGTTTAATTTGACTATAGCCAAGTTCTGTGCAGGAGACTAATGTTCACTATCCAAATGGGGTCCTGTCACAATTTTGCTTTGACTTTAGATGATAGAAAATACAGATTACATTTTTGTGGTTTGAAGCCTGTCTAACCACTTGATGTCGTGACACCTGACCCTCTTTCAGAAGCAACTAGAAGCTTGCACATTTTCAGGGGAGAGAACTGAGCTGCTTCCAAAAGCCAGGTTGACTTTTGAACTAAGTCAGGTACCATGGTATTTCTGATAGCAGCTCACACATTGTGTTGTGTGACGTTTTCTCACTTGTGGTTTCCTGGCCTGCCACAGGGGGAAGCTTCTTGTAAATTCAGAAACCATCACTATTTCCTTGTCTCTTGGTTGCTGCTTCCGTGTTCACAGGGGCAGCTGGGCTAGCAGCTGTCTGAGATGCATTCGCAGGCCTAGCGACAAGTACCAGTAGGCTGGGCGTTTTCTTTGTAGGCAAAGTTCTATGTCCATAACTATCTTTTATGAGTGTGTGTGTGTGTGTGTGTAAAAATAACCCTTTATAATCTTTGTAGCACTTTTTATTTGTTGCTTTTTCTAGCAGAGAGCCTGACAGTTGCTCTGTGAGATAGCTGGGGCAGGTTTTATCTTACTGATAAGAATGATTGTAAGACAGAACTGGGCAGACCTCTTGGTGTTCTTCTCACATACGAGTATGTTGAAGCTTATAAGGCTCCATATGGATTCATGAGGCCCCACCTCTTTCTGCTGCCTGCCCAGGCTTGGCCCATGGGTGGGAATTTCTGCTTGAAGTGTATGGCATTGCTCAGCAAATGTCTTTGTATACTTTAAATTTAGGCAGTGTCTGGGCCCATTTCTTAATACAAATCACTCACTTGTTGAGTTATTCTGAGGTCATCTCTTTCTGTGTAGTCAATGCAGCTTACCTCCTATGCATTTTTCTCATAATATTCTATGAGTTAGGTGAAATTATCTTATTCATTTTATGGGGGGTGGACGTGCTCAGATGAATGATGTATCCAGGGTTGTTCAGTGTATGAGAGCTTTTACACCTCCCCGGTCCTCCCGCCATCTCACCCTTTATTGTTACTCACTGTGTGGTTCTATTTTCTGTGGAAGCATTCTTCCTCTAGAGTGACCACTGTGAGACTGACACTGGGGACTGGCCTGTAGGGACTAGGGTAATGTTTACATTTCCTTTCAGGTCAAGAACTTCAGTGATGTCCATCCTGACTATGGGGCCCGCGTTCAGGCTCTCCTGGACAAATACAATGCCGAGAAACCCAAGGTGAGCCCAGAGCAGCCTGGCCGAGGCCAAGCATGTGTATCCTGGGTTAGACCTGGAATAGTTTGCTTTTCTTTTGGAATGCTTTGCCTCAGGGACAACTATTAGATTTCTTTTTCTTTTAAAGATTTTATTGGGAATTGGGGGAGGGGGAACAGCATTCGGGAATCGGGGAAGGGGAACAGACAAGTTGCTGTCCTTTTGTTCTTCAGTCTAGTTGTGGAGGACGTTGTTTCACTGGCCCATGTTGGTATTATCACCTTTGCGCTCTTCCCGGGTGAGGCAGTCGCTCACCGGTCATTGGATGGCAGCTCATGGCAGCTCAGGAAAGCTCATGCCTGCTGCCGGCCAGCCCCACTGCAGTCCATGCCATCGCTGGCGACTCACAGCAGCCCAGCTCCAGGTCGAGCTGTTGTTCGCCATCTTAGCTGTAGAGGGTGCAGGGTCACTGGCCCTCATGTGGGATCCAAACCAGGGCCCTGTTGCTCAGAGCTGGTGTCCGAAGCCAACTCCTAACGAACGTGCCACTTGGCCGGCCCGACTATTAGATTTCTTAACCAGCTGTTTAGAAGCTCTTTTGAGACATAAATGAGCTTATATCCCATCACTTGCAAAACATATCCTGTTCATTTTAGCCCTGGCCAATATAAGATAGTTACAGCTGAATGTGTTCTGAATTGTTATTATTTTCATTTGAGTGCAAAGTAAAGCTAAGATAAACACCAGGTTGCTCCTGCTGAGTGAGTTGATTAATCTGCTGGTCTTGTTCTTTTAAAACAGAACACGATTCACACCTTTGTGCAGCATGGCTCTCACCTGGCTGCAAGAGAGAAAGCTAACCTGTGAGGGTCAGAGCCCTGGCCTGGTGCCGAGTTGCTCTCCGCCTATGAAGCAAAGCATGGTATTCACACACGTCATCCACATTGCTGGATAGAAGATTGTCCTGTGCTAGATGAGCAAATGTAAGCTTTGTCTTTAAAATGATAATCCAGGTTTCTATAGAAATAATCTAATAATGGCTTTTAATGCTTTTTCCCTTGGGGAAAAATGAAGACTAGGGTTTAACAATTATTTAAAAGAAACATGTAATTGCTTTTGACAGTTTGTTGGATTACTCACTTAAAACGACTGGAATGAAAATTTCTAGCAGAAATATAATTTAATTCAATAAGAAAAAAATCTTGATGAAATAAGTGTGTTTGCATATCATCTCATGGCCTGTTATATAAAAATATGGTTGTAATTATATAAGAAGAAAAGATCAAGATAATCCACTGAGAAATTTTAATTTTTCTAAGTTCTCTATAGGAAAAGCACATTTAATGCCTTAGCCTCTTGAAAATAACTTCAGTACCATTATAGCTTAATGCTTATTTCTGCTTGGAATTGAACCGATTTAAAAAAGAAAATTTGGAATTCATTTATGCTAATACAGCACTGATTTAACAACAGACTGGTTTGTAATTATTACATTTTTACAATAAAATAATCTGTACATAAAAATAGAAGAATGGTATTTGATTTCTTTCGGCTCCATATATAACTTGGAATGTCCCACAGACTCTTAATCTGAATATCATCTGTTATCAGATACTCACCCTTAAAGTTGAAAATACCAATATCATGAGGACACTGTGTTATTTGTTTAAACCAACAGCCTTAGACACTGGCGACCAGAACTTTAACTCTCCTGGGAAAGCAGCAAACTTTGCAACTTTGAAAATTACTTCGATCCCTTGCCCATTAGCTCACTTCCTTATCTGATTAAGAGTTTTTAAAACAAGGGTTCGGAACCGCAAGTCCTTTTTTTACCCATATTTGCCAATCATGCTTGAAAATCAAGTAGAACACTTTAAAGGTGAATTCTGAATACCAAATGAAAACCTGTTTTCCTTGAAAAACCTTATTCCCTTCGTCTCAGATCTTTAAAACCGGTTTGTACTTACTGTCAGGAATTCCCTGAGATCTTGGGCTTCAGGAAACCATTAGACCACTAGTAGATACAAACTCAACCTTTTAGCTCAAACTTCTTTACTCTCCTCTCAAACACTCCTACTTAAATTCCTCCTGTATTTGAGTGTGCTTGGAAACTTGTATTTGTAGACATAGAAAATAAATTTATCCATTTGTACCCAATGGTGAATACTTTTAACATAGAAACTTTACTATAGTTGTATCTCTTTATAGTATTAAATATATAAGATAAATTTAAAAATTAATACAGTTTGACAATGGAAAGGAGGTTATTTGAATATTGGTTATTAAATACAAAGAGTTTTGTTTTTTTTTTAAGATTTTTTTATTGGGGGATTGGGGAAGGGGAACAGTGTTGGGAAATTGGGGAAGGGGAATAGCCAAGTTGTTGTCCTTCAGTCTTAGTTGTGGAGGGTGCAGCTAGCTCAGCTCCAAGTCCAGTTGTGCTGCTCAGTTCAAGGTGCTATGTTCAGTTAGTTGCGGGTGGGCATCCCCACCATCCCATGCAGGAGTCCTGCTAGCAGCCTCGTTGTTAAGAGCACACGCTCTATCCACTGAGCCATCTGGGCGGCAGCTCAGCTCAAGGTGCTGAGTTCAGTCTTTAGTTGCGGGTGGGCATAGCCCACCATCTCAAACAGGCAACCTTGTTGTTAGGAGCACATGCTCTCACCAGCTGAGCCATCCTGCCACTAGTTGGCAGGTTAGCGGGAGCTCATCTCGGGCACAGCTTGCTGGCCCATGTAGGAATCGAACTGGCGACCTTGTTGCTCAGAGCTTGCACTCTTGAGCAAGCTCTTAACCAACTGAGCCACTCGGCCGGCCCCACAAATACAGTTTTTTGAGATAATTTTCTGCTTTGTTCTATAGTGTAAAAATAAGTTGATAGTTAAAATCACATGTATTTAACATGTTTCTTGTATGTAAAAATCTGACACATGTAAGTGTCCCCAGTTTTATTCTGCAGACCTCTTTTGTAATTTTTAAAGATAAATAGTGATGAAGTTAACTTCCAGTTAGGTTTTACTTCCTGAGAGGTACTATCTAATTATATTTCTTTAAAGTAACATTAAGATACATGGGACTAATGGTGATGGCTAGCCAGTAATGATGGCAAAAGTGCACGAATGCAAGAAAGAGAAACCTCACGTTTTTCCTTTCTCAGGAAATTGGGATTGCAATTCTAATTGCACAAGTGCATTTCAAGCTTTTGTTCATATCATGCTCACTAACATTGGCCAAAGCAAGTCACATAGCTAAGTCCAAAGTAAAAGGGTGAAAAAATGTACTCTACCCATGGAGTTGATTTTGTGTGTGTGTGTGTGTGTGTGTGTGTGTGTGTGTGTGTGTGTATGTGAGAGAGAGAGAGACTATCTGAACAATTTAGTATCAGCTCTTCTTAGAAACTTCACTGGTCCTCACCGTCTTCATATCCTTACTGCCCTTCAGACTTTGTTTAGATTTTATATTTTGAAATGACAGTTACTCCAGAACTCAGCCTTGGTAAATTATGCCTCTTACTTAGCTCTGCACTAAAATGGCTGTGGCTGGAACAGAGCACAGCCCTGTGGTCTGGGCTTTTACAGATTTGACCGCAGACCTCGAGTGGACCCTCGGCCCTGACTGGAAATCTGTCTTTCCTTCCTCAGTCAATTCTCCTACTTGTTTGTCCCCCTCCCTCTCAGTTCCTTCATTCACCAAGAATAGGATAACTTCCTTATTTTCCCCCACCCAAACCCTCCAGCTTGCCGGCATGGACACCCATGTGGATAAAAAGGGTCTGTGCTCAGACTGAAGGACAGCCCCTGACATGTGCACGGTCCCATGCCTCCTGTCTCCTCTGGAGTTATCCCTGCCATCTGCATCGCCAGTTCCTCCCTTTCTTCTGCATCGCTCCTCTTAGCTGCTATTATAAGTCTCCTCAAACCCTCTCTTGATCTCATAGGCCTCTCCTGTTATTGCCCCCTTTACTTTCCTCTCCTTTATTGAAAAATAGAAGAATTGCCTTTACTTGCTATCCCGCTACCTTCTGTCCTCTCTTGAACCTCCTCCAATCGGGCTGCCCTTGCCAAGGTCACCAATGACTTCCATGCCGCTACGATCTAATGGCCCCATCCAGCAATCCCACTTCTGGGTATACACCCCAAAGAAGTGAAAGCAGGGTCTTGAATGTATATATGTAAACCTCGTGTTCACAGCAGCAGCATTCACAGTGGCCAAAAGGTGGAAACAGTCTAAGTGTCCATTGATGGATAAATGGATAAATAAAATGTGGTATATCCAGACAGTGGAATATTATTCAGCCATAAAAAGGAAGGCCGTTTTGACACATGCTACAACATGGGTGAACCTTGAAGACATTATGCTAGGCAAATAAACCAGGTACGGAAGGACAAATACGGTATGATTCCACTTGTGTGAGGTACCTAGAGTAGTCAAAACACAGCTACAGAAAGTAGAATTAGTGGTTGCCAGGGTGCTGTGGGGAGGAAAAAATGCGGGGTGTCTGTTTCATGGTTACAGTTTCTGTTTAGGATGATAAGAAAGTTCTGGAGATGAATGGTGGTGATGGCTGCACAACAGTGTGAATGTACTTGATGCCACTGAACTGTGCACTTAAAAATGGTTAAAATGGTAAATTTTATGTTATGTATATTTTACCACAATAAAAACCAAAAATCCAATGGTTCATTCTCATTCCTTGTCTTACATGCCCTCTCAGCAGTGCTTGACACAGTTGATCTTTGGCACCTTCTTTTTTTAGTAACAGCTTTTTCGTGATATAATTCACACACCATAAAAATCACCCACTTAAAGTGTACAATTCAGTGGTTTTCAGTATATGCACAGAGTTGTACAATCATCACCACAATCAATTTTAGAACATTTTCATCACCCCCCCCCCAAAACACCCTGTCCCCATTAGCAATCGCTCACCATCCCCCTAATATAATCTTTCCCCAACCCTTGGCCATCACAAATCTTACTTTGTGTCTGTGGATTTGCCTACGCTGCACATTTCATTTAAATGGAGCCATGTAACGTGTGGTCTTTTGAGACTGTTTTTTTCACTTAGCATAATGTTTCCAAGGTTCTTACTTATAGTGTATATCAGTATTTCATTTTCTTTTATTTCCAAATGATATTCCGTTGTATAGCTATGCCGTGTTTTTATTTACCCATTCTTAGAGGATAGACTTTTTGGGTGGTTTCCACTTTTTGACCATTATGAGTAATGTGGCTGTGAATATCCATGTATGTGTTTTTGTGTGGGCACATGTTTTTATTTCTCACATTATCACCTTAGAAGGGGTTTTTATTTACTTTCTGGCACAATACTCTCTAAAAATCAGCTCTTGGTATTTTAAAATCTATTACTCTTCTGAAAGGAGCACTTGGTCTGGGCTTTTTGAAGCACTGTGAAAAGGATCACCTTGTTCATTTCAAGTTAAATGTCAGAAATTGGTTTAAAAACATTAATTTTTTCTTTCTCTGATTAAGGGACATCACACTAATTTGTAATCTTTGCTAAGGAAATAAGTTTTAAACTCAATACCATGGGTGAGCTGCTGGGCTAATTCTTTGCATCTTAGGTCATGGTATTACTGAAAGGCCAAGGGCCAAATTACACTTTAAATGATCTATCTGATATGACAAATTGAAGGTTTAAAATTCTTAACAGAGGTTTTAAAGATGTGAAGGGTTAGTAGCGGTCAACTCAAAAAGTTCTCTGTACTTTTGAATTTCTTAGATCCTTTTTACAAAGGAAATAATCCTTCATTTGACTGTTTGATAAGTGAATTTCACGTTGTCTGTTTTCATTTTTTGTTGTTTTGCTTTGGTTTTGTTTGCTTAAAGTGTGGTATTTTAAACTGTCCTTTGTACTTTCTATTCTTTAATGAACTGTGTTATGAAGCTACATGTTTAAGTGAGACCCACATTTTAAAGGATATAGTGGATTGAATGATGGCCCCCAAAAGAGTGTGTCCATGTCCTAACCTTGGGAACCTGTGAAAGTGACCTTCTTTGGAAAAAAGGCCTTTGCAGGTGTTATTAAGTTAAGGATCTCCAGATGAGATCATTCAGGATTATCCAGATGGGCCCTACCTCTAATAACGGGGTCCTCCTAAGAGGCCAAGGGGAGGACGAGGGGTAGGCCACCTGAAGACAGAGGCAGAGGTTGGAATTTCAAGTTAAGGAATGCTTGGAGCCACCGGAAGTTGGAAGAGGCCAGGAGGTTTCTTCCCTAGAGCCTATGGAGGGAGCATGGCTCTGCCAATACCTTGATTTCGAACTTTCAGCTTCCAGAACCACGAGAGAATAAATTTCTATTGTTTTAAGCCACCACATTTGGTGATTTGTCTTGGGCAGCCCTAGGAAATGAATACAAAGAGGATGCTAGTTTAATGGTGTTCTAGAATGCAAACTTCTGGAGTAGTAGAGCGATTCATTTTTTTGTTCTCTGAATTGCCTGACGCCTTTCTGGGGGCGGGCAGCATCTCCAGGTCATGTGTCACTCCTCAGTCCTGTCCATCACTGCCTGCTCTGCCCCCACCTCGGGCTCCGCCACCCTCCTGAGCTGCTTGGTTCTGCCAGGTTGTTTGCCTGAAAGCTCCCAGTTCCCCTTCTGTTAGCCAATTTTCAATTTCCTGGACAATGTCTTCTTTCAACCAGATTCTGGGCTTTGATCCAGTCCATTCATATGGTATTTACCTACCTCCTCAGATGGCCAGGACAGGGGTCCCAAATTCAACATGCACAGGCTCTCTGGATGTATGAACCAAACAACAGTAGGGCAAGAACCAAGCTGAACTCTGGAAGGCAGTAGAGAGCGGTGACTAAATGCTCTGCCCAAAGGGGCAGCTTCTACTTAGCTGCAGGAAATTATTGCCACAGGGCACTGACTGAGAAACTAGTGTTGGCAGATCTGATGTTTTAAAAAGAAGGTGGAAATCTGGATTTTTCTATAAATCTGAGTTTTAAATAAGGCAACGAATTTATAGTAAGACACAAAACCTCAAAACAACAAACAGGGCCGGCCAAGTGGCTCAGTTGGTTAAGAGCGCGAACTCTGAGCAACAGGTCGCTGGTTTGATTCCCACATGGGCCAGTGAGCTACGCTCAAACTGAGCTGCCAACAGGTGGCAGGACGGCTCAGCTGGTGAGAGCACGTGCTCCTAACGACAAGGTTTCTGGTTCGACTCCCGCTACGCCCACCCACAACTAAGATTGAACACGGCAACTTGAACTGAGCATCTGCGAGCTGCTGACGGGCAGCCAGATGGAGACTGGACTTGGAACTGAGCTAGCTGTGCCCTCCACAACTATTGAAGGATAACAACTTGGCTGTTCCCCTTCCCCAATTCCCCAACACTGTTCCCCTTCTCCAATTCCCCAATAAAAATCTAAACAACAACAACAACAACAACAACAACCTACAAAAAAATTTGGGGTGTGTGTGTGTGTGTGTGTGTGTGTGTGTGTGTGTGTGTGTGTGTGTGTACCAAATATACTGTAGGCCCCACTGGCCCACACTTTCCTTTTATGAGGTGACTTCTGTCTTATGATGTAAAAGGTGGTGGGCAGGATCACTCCATATATTTCTTGCATCTTTTGGAGCTCTTCAAAAACCTCCATCTCCTATACCTCGGAAATGGAAGGGTCATCAAAGGTTTTACAAGTTGTCAGTGCTTTGCTGGGTCGGCCTTGATGAATTTAACAATACAGAGACAGTTTAGCATGTTAAATATTTTATTCACATTGTTTACAAACTATATCCACCTGGAAAACATATGAGTCCAAAAATAGATTATTTTACAGTAATTCACATTTTTGAAAACAAGTACCTTGTGAAGTTAAACTCTAAGCTTGGAGGTCCTCAGCCTGTATTGTGTGTGGTTCAGTGCCGTGTCACATGGGGCTTCCTGCTCTGGGGAAGTGGAAGTCCTGAGCAGTCCACCTGGGTAAAGATCACTAATGGCTTACCTACAAGGACCGGTGAGAAATGTCGTGCAGATTTTAACCCATGAACATTTCCTGGTGTAAATTCACCATTGCTATGTTTGTCAAGGAAATAACGTGTTTTGGAGCTCAAGTACACATCAGATAGGAAGACAACACGAGACATAATTGAATTGGCCATTACAGAGTTGTCAGGACAGTTCCAGTTCTATGAAGATTTAATGTCTTAGCCACAGACGGAATTGATAAATTAGGATTTTATTGTGTTGACAGCTTGAATCAGAAACAGCGATGGTTTGGAAATTGATGTGTCTGTTGACTAACTTTGCCTATCTGATGCCCCTCCCCCAGCCCTGACTAGTAGGAGAAGAGGGGAATCAACTAAGCAAGAATTAAGAGTATGCCTGATTTTAAGTGTGTTCCTCTAGACGAATGGCCATGGGAGTTTGCTGAGTGGCCACAAAGATGTTCAGGTTAAGAACTTTGGCTGTTAGCCTACGCTGAATCTGATGATGTCCCATCTTGATGGCTTAGATCCTTCTTTTACCGGTTAAGAAGCTTTTCTATGGAATTTGACTTTTACGATTTAAAATCTGCAGTATGTGTGTCTTACCCACATCTCACCTCCTCTTACCATATAAACTACAAACTAATGACTTTTTTGTTTTCCCTTTGTGAGCTGCCACAGTTTAAATGTGTGAAAACTCCTGAGCCTTTGGAATGGGAGCACTAGATGAGTGGAATGGCAGAACTGGTCCTTTTTCTCTGAGCAGCACCAATGGCGCTGGCTGTTGTGGCTCTGTACCTCTTGATTTGGGAAGTAATCTTTGCTCAAGGTACCCCTCCTCCTCTTGAGTTGAAAAAAAAAAAAAGAATTTCTTAAGGACTTGCTGCTATTACCCCCAAGTAGACAACAACAACTCTGAATCCAAATGTAAGCTGAGATGTGGAGAAATTTTATCAGCACTTGTGCAGGTTTCAAGAAACAAACACAAAGACTTTCAAATGTCCATTGCAATCGGATTGTTTTAAAAGACGGAAATCCATAGCATGAGCTTGATGATGGAGCCGATCATAGCTTGTCTTCCTGCCACCCGTGTGCGTTTTTTCCAAACTTGTACACTAACCTTCGGTCAACCCGTTCCAAAATTCCCGTTTTATAGTAGTACCTGAGAAAGACAGCAGAAGACAAATGTGGGGGGTGGGGGGTTGCACCCCAGGAAAACAACAGAACATAAACCCTCTCTCATTCTTCTCAGGTGACAAGGCTGGTCTTTGGTTACCCTGGTATTTTCACACCCTGTTATCAACTTACACTTAAACCTTTTCCCAGACATCTTGAAGATTGAACCTCACATTTAGTTCCAAACGTGTTTTTGTGTGTATGTGTGAGATAGCCTGGATTCAGAGTGATCCCCGGGGAACACTGCCAAGCATGAACAGGGCGGCGTGTCCGTTTACAAACCATAATCCCACCTGTAACTAAGAACCAAAGTGTTGTCTCATGACCTTTTGATGATCAAGGAACAAGCTGCAAAAACAACTTAATTTTCTATGGCTGGCCATTTTATATAACTCTGCCTGAGGGTTCATGGCATTTCATGCTATTAACTTACCTCAGAGCTCTGCTCAACTTTTCGTATGTCATTCTGTCGTTTTTCTTCCTTTGTCCCCACATCTTTGCCAGGGCTTCTGATTTGACCACCCGAAAAACACCTTGTTCCCTATCTTCCCATTCCAGAATGCCACAGTTTTCCTCAGGAGATAGAAGCAGGTCTCGTACAAATTCCCATAGATGGGAACTCTGGAGGCCTTTGAGGAGGAAAAAGAGTTAACTCAATTTTTTTTTTTTTAAATTGGGGAATTCGGGGATGGGAACAGCGCTGGGGAATTGGGGGAAGGGGAACAGACAAGTTGCTGTCGTTTTGTTCTTCAGTCTAGTTGTGGAGGACGTTGCTTCACTGGCCCAAGTTGGCACCATCATTGTGCTCTTCCCGGTCGAGGCAGATCAGTTGCCGGCTTCTGGATGGCCACTCACAGCGGCTCCGGGCCCCTCACGCTGGCTGCTGGCCACACATGGTAGCCCATGGCAACCCACTGCAGCAGTACTGCAGCCTACGTCGTCGCCGTCGACTCACAGCAGCCCAGCTCCAGGTTGAGCTGTTGTTCAGCATCTCAGCTGTAGAGGGCAGTGTCACTGGCCCTCATATGTGGGATCCGAACCCCGGGGACCTCTGGCGTCCCAAGCCAGCTCTTAACCAATGCACCACTCGGCCTGCCCCTCAAGTTTTTTTTTTTTAATTGTAAGAGAAGAGTTGTACAACTTGTCATTCACCCATGAGAATTGCTGCTTTGTGGGTTATTTCCCCTAGTTGTGATGGAGTGCTCTATTTGGGACCTTACCAAGTCGTGAAACGTCTATCTTTGGTAAAGCAATAACAAAACACACATACAGGGACACCAAACTTACATCGCCTAGCAACACTGGCTCATGGACTGCCCTTGCTCTGTGGGATCATGGACTAACTCTTACGGAATCAATGAAATGACTATCAAATAATCTTTTCACTTTTCTTTCTGACAGGCAGTGTGGTTGTCTCACAGCCACAGCTGTCTGGGTGGACCAGTCCTACAATTAGGGTTTTCGTGGTATTTCTCCTGTTAAGACTGGCTCTGGAGTCCAACTGCCTGAATTCACCTCTTCCTACGTCTATAATCATAATCTCTCTACTCCTCTGTAAAATGGGAACATAAGAGTACCCACTGCATAGCAGAGGTTAGAGGATTATGAGTTAACACACATCAAGGGGCTAGAACCAAGCCTAGCAGGCTGATTCTGCTCTCGGTAGATCTGTCTTAGTTTGGGGAAAGGCTAACAGAATTGTCAACTCCTGGTGTTTTCTCTACTCCTGTCCCTGAGTACTTAAATGAGAAGGACCCCCAGGAGACCGACCAGGTCAAACAAACCTTTATTCAGAAACTCAACATGGTTAGAAAATTTCTTCCTCATTTTAATTCTTTATAGTACCATTTCCAAGCGAAAAACTTGAAGTAAGTGTAAATTTGATAACTTTTATAAAAATCATCGTCAACGTCTACTACCTTTGGGAAATAACTGGTCCCATGTAAACATTCAGTTTCAAAGCTTATGAAAGCAGATTACTTTGTCTCTTGGTTTTAAGAAATTAGAAATAAAAAGTGGCAGCTCGGGCTGGCCAGGTGGCTCAGTTGGTTAAGAGCTCGCTCAAGAGTGCGAGCTCTGAGCAACAGCGGTTCTATTCCCAGCCTGAGCTGAGTTGCCGCTGAGCTGCCAACAGGTGGCAGGATGGCTCAGCTTAAAAATAAATAAATAAAAGTGGTGTCTCAACACTTACTCGTTCGACTATGACTGTGACAGTCTTGACTTTTGAGGCCACTCGTTTTCAAGCAGTTGGAATCAGCATCTGAAATAGAATGCTTTATGGCAGTAGGAAGGAATCGAGAGGCCACGTTCAGACCTCAAATCACATCCAAACGAGCAGATATTAATTGAACACCTTTCTGTTAGAAGGCACCAATTTAGGCACTTTGGGGGTAATTAGTTGGTGGGAGGTGCAAAAATCCCTAAGACTCAGCATTTATCTTTTAGGAGCAGGGAGCATTTATATTGAACACTGGGACCTGCTGTGTGCCAGGTCCTGGGCTCCATGCTGGGGGTACAAGAGCGAACAAGATGGACTCGGTCCCTGATTATGTGGAATTTAAGGACTAGTGGGCAAGGTGAAAAGCAAATGAAACAAATCGCCCGTGCTTTTAAGTTTTATGAAGGAAACAAAATATTGGCTAGAGAATGAGGTGGAGGAAAGTACTTTAGGAGAGCCTCATGAAGAGGAGACAGGTAAAGGTGAGAGGGAGCTGCATGAGGAGGAGGGACAGAGTATTCCGGCACATGCAGCCAAGCATGGAGAGAGGACCAGTGAGGCAGGGGTGCGGTGTGCCCGGGGAGAGTGGTTGACGACGGTGCTGGGGAAGCCGGCTGCCGGCAGATCACATAGGGCCTTCATCACAGGCCCTGGTAAGGACTTAGGACTTTTATGCAAAGAGAAAAGCAAAGACTTTGGAGGTTGACAAGATCCGATCCACGTTTTAAGAACATCCCTCTGGCTAGTGCATGGAGAACAGACTGGAAGGGACACAAGTAAAAGCAGAGATCAGTGCCTAGCTCTGGGCCTGGCACATAGTAAGTGTTCATAGATGTTTGTCAAATGACTGAAAAGACAAAGAAAGAAATGGATGAGAGAAGCCAAGGAGAGAAAGGCTTCAGATTTAGACACACCTGGATCATTTGTCACCTTCTAACCTTGTAACCTTAACCTCTAAGCTTTAGTTCCTACCTCTGTAAAAGGCAGTGGCACTAGGCCTTGTCTTACAGGGTGATAGGAGAGATTACCTCAGACAGTGTCTGTCAAGGTTCTAGCCCAGGGCCTGGCTCATGGTAAACCACGCCTCCTGCCCGCAAGGCCAGGGCCTGTGTGTGGGACTCAGTAACTAACAGTAATAATCATTATCACTTTAAAAAATGAGAGCTCCAAAGTTCCCTTTCCTAATCCTTCTCCATCTGCAAATGCAAAACAGTGAGGGTTAATTTCTAGAATCAGCAAGGCTATCTGAGCTTCTCCATCACCTTATAATTATAAACTCGACCTGCCTCGTGAGCTCAGATTCTTCGCAGACACTATCAACCACAAGACCTCTCATGGTTAGTAATTACGATGCTTACTGCTCACGGATACCAGTTTTTGGAGCTGCAATTGCTGCTGGCACCTGCCAGGCGCCTTGTATGCATTGTTTCTCGAACTCACCCCATTTTATAGCTAGGGAAACTGAGTCTGGGGAGGCTAGGACAAGCCCCAGGCTCTGTCCACTACATTTCTCCTGCTGTCTTCTCTTAGCCTGGGTGATTGTTGCAGGTCATCAGCCTTTCAGTGTGGTCCTAAAAGAATGATCAAGCCCTTGTACCCAAGAGTAGCCTCAACAGAGCCTTGGGCAGCTTGGCCTTGGTTACTTACAGTCTTTGATGGCAACCTTGGTCTCTTCAGCATCATTAAAAAAGGAGTAACCTGGGAAAGAAAAAGAAATCCACAAACCACATACCATACAATCCTGATTTCCCCTGGCCAGGCCTGCCGAGGACGTGCTGGGGAGACGGGGAGCGACTGTCCCCTCTGCAGGGTAGGTTTCTTTCAGAAGGAACCGTGGAGACTATCTGGCCTTTATAAGGCCACCCTGAAGCCAACCCCGAGAGGTGACAATCTCCTCGTTTTGAAAGGCTGCCTGGAGAGATTCCCCCGGGGCCAGGTGTTCCAGCAGGCTCTAAGATTTTCGGAGTGGGCACTGGTGAGTGAGTCCTGGCTCAGGGCCTGGAGGCCTGGGCTCTGAGCTGGGCTGGGAGGCCTTGCCTGGTCATTCAGTCTCTGGGCTCATGTTCCTCATTGGCAATGTGACAAAACCACGACTGAGCTCCCCGTTGGCTCTGAGAGTCTGCGATCTGTGACTCGGCCTCTAATCCCTCGGGGATTTGAATGCCTGTTGGGTGCTGGTCAAAGGATAAAATGGACATAGGAGGCCGCAAGGTGTGCAAAACCTGATATGAGGATTTAATGAGGATTTGGGAGACTGTCGGGGCCTTGGTTTGCTTCTCCAAAGAATGGGTGGGCTGGAGGCGAATTAGGAATTTCAGATCATGTTTTCATGAAGCTGCTCAGGCCAAAGGACTCCGACTTTCTAGCTGGGTGTTTTGAGTTTTTCTTTTTAAAAATGTACTCCGCTCGCTTTCCTGTAGCAACTTGCTCCCTTTTACCTACAGCCTCCATTTCTAGCACACTGGAGCTGCCTCCGGATTTTGAGAGGTTTGGGTTAACAGGGAGCGTGGGTGCCTGGACACTGACCTTGCGAGCGGATGTTCTGCAAGATGAAGTACAGGTACTCCCCACAGATGCCAGCCGCCTCGACGAACTCCTCCTGGGTCATGCTGCACAGCTGCAGGCCGCTGACATTGAAGTGGCAGAAGGAGATGCAGCTGGTGTCCAGCTTGTACTGGTCGCAGCAGAACTGGAGCCATTCCCAGACATGGCGCTTAGTCCAGTACTCAGGGTGGACAGATGTCCAGTATGAATCGCAGGCTACAGCAGAGGAGAGAGAACTGAAGGACTGGCCCCCAGGAGAGGCGTTGGAAGGCCCCTCGAAGGTGGCTCTGGTTATGTTATCATCCTTATCCCTTGTCCAATGAGTCAGAAGGACCTCCAGCCCTTGGGTGTTCTACTGGGGCCCAGGTCACCTTCTACTCCGCAGGGAAAACCAGAGGGGCCTGGGTCCTACTGGTGGACTTTGGGGCAGGAGAGGGAATGGCACGGGCAAGAAACCCAGGCGTGGCTTATGAATGCCCAGCCCTGGTTTCGTTGCTTAGAAAGGAGGGAACTAGTGGAAAAAGAAAGAACGAGGCTCATCAGTGATTCAGTTTTAGACAACATGGTGTCAAAAGCACAGGCTTTGGAGCCCAACAAGCCTGGACTCAAATCTTGGTTCTGCTGATTTCCACTTGGGCCAGGTCCGTAGACATTTAAGCCTCAGTGTCTTCATCTGTAAAATGGGGATAATAATATGCCCAAGTCATAGGGTTATTTTGCAGTTTGGGGTTAATATATGGAGGCTGTGTGGTGCATAGAAAAGAATTAGTTCAATAGTTATAAAATGCCTACTGTGTGCCAGGCACTGTTTGAAGCTGATTTGATTCCCTCTGCTCTTATGGACAGCTGCCAACACTATTAGTTTGTGCATTGCCCCTGGCCAACTTACATTGAGGGCCTCGGGCTGGTGAAATGTTGCTCAGAGTCTAACAGTCCTTAGATCACTATAGCAGGCTCCTCAGCAGGGAAGGGAAATGGAGGAGTTCATTGTGTTTTTGTGGTTTGGTTGGTGTTTTGAAGAATTTCTATCCTGAAACCAGTGCCCCTTCACTCCTTCAGAGGAACCCTGTACACACCCAGACAGAGGTGGGTGCTATCCTGTGTGGGAGGCAGGGCAGACACTGAATGCTCAATAGCCCTGTCCCAATGCCAGGCGAAGGAGAAAGGGTGGCAGACATGGGGTGTGGAACAGGTGAGGTACCAGGCACTTGGTCAGGCTCTTTGACATAAATAATTCTTGCAGCTGCTGTGGTACTCATTCATTCATTCAATAAATGAGCTTCAGTTTCCTCATTGGTGAAATGGACATAATGATAGCACCTATGTCATAGAGTTGTTCTGTGGATTAAATGAGTTAATATATGCAAAAGTACTTAGAACAGAGCCTGGAAGGTTTTGATGATATGATTAAGATTATGATTGAACACCTACTATATGCAAAGCAACCAATTGTGTGCTAAGGATTCATAGTAAATAAGAGGCTTGGTCCGCGTCCTCTGGGAAGTCACAGATGAGGAGCCTGGGGGTCACGGAGGACTTGCCCAAGATCCCACAGCCAGTGTGTGGCGGACCTGGGATTTGAACCCCAGTCTAAACTTGAAAGCCATAGCTCTTCCCATCGCATCACACCCGTCCTCAGCGGGCCAGCACAGAGAAGAGATGAACCATGGAGAGGGAGGTGGGGGCCGTCTGAGAGCTGGAGAGAATAAGAAGGCCTGAGGGAAAGGCAGAGAGCAGAGTACAGCATAGCCGACTGGCTTAGGGTGGATGACAGAAAGGGTCACTCATGTGCTAGTCTCCACAGCAAATGACACCTATTCCGATGCCCCCTTTAAATGCTGCATTTGTTGCCACTGTCCCCCGTGGAGCAGTGAAGCTTCCAGCCCCCGGGCAGGAGATGGGTTCTCTGCCCTGTCAGGTGTACTGCTCCCTAAGCATCCCCTGCCTGTCAGCTTCTTAAGTTCCTCAGATCCTCCTAAACAGGTATGATTAGGCTATTTGATAAAGAAGGAAACTGAGGCTCTCCCATAAAACTCAGAGCCCTCACAGAAATCTCTTTTCCTACTCTGGCGTGGATTGGGGGACAGTCAAACTTAAACAATAGATTTGTTTTACTTAAAAATTTTAATCCGAATTCTGTGTGCATGAGGATTAGAGTTAATACTCTGCCAGGGTCGTGGAGACCGATGTTGTCACCTCTACCTGGTGGCTGAGGGAGCAAGAGGGCCGGTGAGGCCCACACCTGTCCTCTGGCTCACTGGCTGCTGGCTGGAGCTGGTCCACCAGCCCATGGTGGTAGTGGTGGTGGTGGGGGGGCACCTCATGGCCAGCAGGGTCTCCAGGGAAAATAGGATGGCCATTCCCCAGTCTGGTCTGTGCTGTCAGGTACTGATTTATGGCTTAAGTAAAGCTAGGGGGACTTTACTTTCCTAATATTCTAAGAGAGATATTTATGAGCCTTGAAATTCTTCTGCCCTTGGTCCTGAGCTGAGCCCTGACAGAGATGGCTATCGGTGCCCTGCAGTTGGAGGACACAGCTTATTTATTCTCATAGAAAGGTTTCGCCAAGTCTCCATTCCCCTCCCCGCTCCACGTCCACCCCCTCATCATTTTCTTTGGCACTTGAAGAGGGCCATGTTGTTTCTGGAAGCCAAGAGGGCCTAAAGGATTCGGAGAAATGCCTGGGTGGGGGCGGGCACTGACATTAGGAAGGTGTTGCTGGCACAGGCTCCCTTCTCCTCAGCTCTCTCCTTTGAAGCTCACCCACAGAGCAGGCTTTGTGTGCGGTTTGGGCCCCTGGAGGGAAGCCGGGGCCAGAGCCAAGCATGGCGGGCTCTCTCCTCACCAGGAAAGTCCTTCCCACAGCCCCCAGAGCTAAGAAGAAAATGGCAGTTCTCAGCGACAGAGACAACATCATGGGGTGCTCTCCTGTTGTGGTGTGCTTCCATGGCCCCATCCTCATGAGGAGGGCCACAGAGGTGAGGCTGACAGGATGAGAAAGGCCTGCTTCAACTGGGCCTCCCCTTACGGGGCCTCCCCTGTCACCCCCTCAGAATTGGCTCCTGGCTCAGTGTCTTTCCACAGGCGCTTCCCTTCGCCTAGGACGAGGTCCCCATCTGCCTTCTTCTAACTAATTCCTGCTCATCCTCAGGACCACACAGCGCATGCCCCACTCTTAGAGAGTCTTCGCTCCCCTGCCCAGCTCTCCTGAGGTGTCCATCTCAGAAGGATTTGCACCTGCCTCCCTCCATCCCTAGACCTTGAGCTCCATGAGATGGGGCCAGCTTGGCTTTGCTCACCCTGAGTCAGGAGTGCTTGGAGGCCGGCCTAGCCCACTGTGGGTGCTCAGTGAGTGTAACTGACTGACCGAATGACCGATGAGTATTATCTCCCCTTGACAGGTGAGGAAACTGGGGTTCTGGGAGGTTATATTACTCTACTAACACCACACAGCCAGTCAGTAAGGGAGTTAGGTCCCACGCCAACTCTTCCTTCTTTGGATGTGGGAATTTTACATCATATGCCTCACTCTTCTGGGTTGAGGAGGAACAAGTTGGATATACATCCTGAAGACTGACTAGAAAAGATTTGGATGAATGCAGATATATACGAGTGTGTGTGTGTATGTGTGTGTGTTTATATACATTCTGTTTATATATTTATATACATTCTGTCTACATATAATATAGGTTTGAAAATCCAGGAAAAGGATTGAGAGATTGATGATGACAGTGTTTGCAACCCCAGTGAATGACCTGAAGAAGACCGTTTTACTACTTGGAAGAGATGAACTCAGGGCAAATAAAGGAAAGGGTAATACGCCCACAGAAAATGTTATCTCCTGTATTGTCTGGAAATGTAAAGTGTTTTCCTCAATGCATCTTCCATTTATAACATAATCTAAACCTTTTAGAGAAGCTGAGCTATGAGGACCTTCTGCCATTGTCTACTGGTTGGGGACAGATGGCATCCAGTACCTGGTAGACTTACTCCAAATGTCCTCGGCCAGCTCCTTTGAAGTCAGAAGTGAGTCAGGACACTTGTGTAAGGGCCAGCTGCCCTGGGAAGAATTGAGGAGCTAAAAGGAGCAATTCTGAGGGAATTGCCACAAGTGATGCCCTGAACTGGGATTATAAAATTCAGAAGGAGGACTTGAGTTTTTAGACCTGGCTGGCACACTCAAATGCCCACAGGCTCAGCAGGTAAGGTCCATGCCTGAAGTGGCCCCAGGTGGGGACAGCAGAAATTGGAAAAGTTCATGCTAAGTAGAAGTCGCTACCCAATTCCACATGGCCACTTCCATGCCGGAAGGTGGGCTCTGTGTAGCCAGGCCCAGATCGTTATGTGATGGCAAGTTATTTAATTTTTTAAAAACCCTCTGAAGGTCAATGACAACTCTTCCATAGACTGGATCTCTCCTGGAAGTCACTTTGTGATAAGAAGTTTCACATGCATTTGAATAGCTGTCTTCTTCGAGATTATTGCTTAGAATGGGCATGCTAGAGTTTTAATTTTTTTTTTAGTTGAGTAGTATTTTCTTCAAATTAAAACTTATTTGCAAAAAAGAAGCACTGCTTTGCTGGGAGTTGAGATGAAGGTACTAGAGGGCTTCCCCTCGGTAGCTCCAGAAAGCTCTTTGAAAATCTTTGCTGTAGCATGTGAAACCAGGGTTCCTGTTATTTGGATTCCCCCTAAAAGTTGAAAAGGCATATGGTCTCACACTTACTGTTCTTGCCTTCTTGGGACTCATCTGCAAAATGGGAATAATGGGATCTCCCTCACCATGCTGTTGAAAGGATTAAGTGAATCAAAATGTGGAAAGTGCTTAGAATGGGGGCATGAATGGAATAAGTGTTCATTAAATACCAACTATTTATACTTGTTAATATTGTAAATATGGCTACCCATAACTCTACTTTGATTGCATTTCCTCAAATACTTCTAATACATTCTCTCGCTCTCTCTCCCTCCATCCCTCTCTCTTTCACTGTGTGTGTGTGTGTGTGTGTGTGTGTGTGTGTGTGTGTGTGTGTGTGTAGGCCAGCAGCTTTGTTCCTTTCCAGAGTTTTGGGTTTATTTTCGTTATGAAAAATGAGCATATTCTGTTATGAATCATGCTAATTTGTCCTTATATTGCTAGCATGAGTTAGGTGGCCAATGCTGTTCCAAATATGGGAACACAGGTGAGTCTGTGTGGCTTTGTAAAATACTTCATG